CAGACACTCAGCCCCATGTGGGGGGGAGGATGCAGCAGGGAGTTCTGGCCCCAGTGGCTGAGCAGTAGAAGTGGGCTGGCAGCTGCAGGGGAACCACAACCAGCAACGGGGCAGGACAGCCCTTGTTTGTAATTGAAGGTTAACTAATGAGCTTAGGCTCATCGCTTAACAGTTTAAAGGAATACACTATCACATCCCTATTCAGGACCCATCAGTCTGAGGTGCAGTAGAAATAGGACAAGTGGTTGTCAAAACAGAAAAGGATCTGGCACAAGAACTAGTGCTCCACTCTTGGGCACATCCTCAAAAGTTGTGTATTGAGCCTGAAGGTGACTTAGGGCCTCCATGACCTTGACCCTGGTCTGAGTTGGGGTGAGGCTAGTGCCACCAGTGATTCCGGCCTCTGCACCTGGATGAGTCCTGCCTGGGCTGACCAGAATAGGAGCAGCAGAGTCCGTCTCTGGGGTGCAGGGGACTCCAGAAATTTGAAGGTCACCATAGAATCTTTCAGGCTGTGCAGGCAAGACTCCATATTCTCCACAAAGAGCCCAGAACAGTCAAAGAAGAGGACTTAAGATTTGTAGTCACATGCTCCTCCTCGTAGTGATACCAATAACCATTATAGGGGTGGCTGAGTCGGTGGCCACTTGAAGGGAAGTTCTCGTGAAAAGCTTGCCCGACGATGAACTCCTGGCAAGTGTCAACAGGAAGGAGCGCTTGTAATTTGGCAAGAGCCCTCCACTTCTAAAAGTTAAACGAGTAGTGGCTCAACAGAGTTTGCTGATTAGCCACCCGCAGTTATAAGGCCCCCGTAAAATACATCTTAAACACAAAAAGGTCTAGTTTGTTTGCGTCCTTTGATTTGGGCCTGGGTTGTCCCTGGCATTCCTTATGGTTTACAGCAGCCACTACAAGAGATCTCAGCTACAGGTGTGTGACTAGGTGATCCCCACTGATGGGGAACAAAGTAACAATGTTCAGCTCCCTTAGCTGTAGGGGATTTGGATGCCGGGGTTTGCCACAATTCCTCAGAGTGTTAGTTTCTATAATTTTTAATGAACGGGAGGGGCAACTCTGGAAGGACCCTCTGGGGCAAAGATATCCACCATAGAGTCTGCATTAGGGATGTGATTACTTCCCTAATCGAATAGTCGATAGATTTTTTGTCGACTATTCGATTAGTCGACGATAGTAAGCAGTTGCGGTGCTCAGTTTGGCTCATGCGGATTCATAGCAAAACCTCTCTACATGCAGTTCTGCGTTGTAAAGCCCAGAGAAGATGCTGTGCAGTCGCTAGCTCAGCCCCTGCTCCACATCCCTAGTCTGCATCCTCGATAATTTTCTCCACTTGCAAGCCAAGGTTCTCAGCCACCTGTCTCAAGAGGTCCCGGTGGCCGCTGATATCCAAAGTGGGTAGCATAGTGTCTGAGGTACCAGCCACAGCCTCATCCAAGGATGAGGATGAGGCAGCCTGTAAGGCAGGGACTTCCTGGGCCTCCCATTCCCCAGAGGGAGATTCTGGGGCCACCTGGCTTTCTGAGATCTCCAGTGCCAGTGAAGGTGCTGAAGGAAAAGTTTGTGCAGGTGCTGCGCACACCAAGGGGGGAACCTTTGAGCTGGACCTTACAGCGCTGAAGGGGACCTTGGTGCCAGACTTGGCACTGCAGAAACAGATACGTGCTCCCCATCATCTTGAGAATGACATCTGGAAAGGGCTGATGAGGGAGTGTGGGGGAGAAGCCTCACAGTACTAACATGATGGTACAATGAGGGTCTTGGGCTTGGTGGTAGGTCCACGAGGTCCAAAAGATGCACTGAACTGGCAGTTGCCACTGGTACTAGTGCGTCCCGAGGGCCGCAGTGCTGGGCACAGTGGCGAGAGTGGGAATGGTGCCTGCTCTGTCTCAACATTAAAGAGTCCTCCCCAGAGTCTGATTAGAGGTCAGAACCCGACCATGACAGTGCCAGGGCCGACTGTGCCGGGGAATGGGACTATGGTGATATAAATTGGTGATATATCATCAGGGGCTTTTCTGGTGCTGTCCAGGTTGTGATGCCAACAGCACCGAGGCAGAGCCACCTGAGACGGTATCAGCCACTGTGCTGGAGCTGGGGTCCCCATCGAAGGTTGTGTTGGCACTGGGTCCAGCACTGGCACTGAAGATGAGGACTGCTAAGATGAGGACTGTGTCATCATGGTAATCATGTCCTTGGTGGTCTCAAAAGGTATCAGGTGTGGAGAGAGAATCCAATTCCTCCTCCAAGATCTCCTGAGCAGGGGAGACAAGGCACACTGGACTCGACAAGCCCTGTAGTGGGGCCAGAGTCGATGGTGCTAAGGCTTTCAGGTGCCTGTCTTATAGGAAGCTTCCTCGAAGACCTGACTTTATCCATTCTCCTCTTCTTATGTGGCACTGTGGAAGGAGAATGGTGCCACAAGCTCGAACTTGCCTGTAGTGATGAGTGGTGCCGAAGGTCCTTCAGCGCCTCCTTGTGCAGCAACGAGGGGTCCTGCATTGAGGCTGGTGCATTGCTCACTGCTGGAGCAGGCGTTGTCTCTGGCGTGGACTCAGACCAGAGAGCTGCCTCCACAAGTAGGAGATTCAGGCAATGACTTCTTTCTTTTTCAGTGCAAGGCCTAAAGCTCCTGCAAATAGGGCACTTATCTGTTTGATGGCCCTCTCCAAGGCGCTTAAGGCAGGAAGAAAATGGAGTGCCCTTGGGCATAGGCTTCCCACAATCCTCTCATGCCATAAACCACTAAGACTTCAGAATGCTCCAGTGACGGAAACCATAAAGTGCAGGGAAACCCCTCAAAACTCTAACTAAAATTAAACTACCTTAACAACTAACAATAGATATTGAAGCACATGCAATGCAAGAGGCTAGGCCAGCTCCAACATCTCTCACTGGCGGTAAGAAGGAACTGAGAGGATGTGAGGGGGTGGTGTCAGCAATCTTATACCATGCCTTGAAGGCATTATGCTAGGGAGTTCCAAAGCCAACCCAACAAGAACCGCTCAGGGGAAGAAACTCAGACGATCATGCACATAGTGCGTGCACACAACTACTGGAAAGAACATGAGCAATCACACAAAGAAAAAACTTTTTTTAAAAAAATATTCAGATTGCAGATTTACTGTGGCATCCCAACAAACACTGATATGGAGTCAACACAGAAAGAGCATATTTGGGGGGGAAAAAATAGGACAGTACTTTACTTAAGAAAAAACATCTGTGACAGAGGCATATTTCCAAAGGGGGAAAAAAAAAAGTCACAGGAGTTGTTCACATTCAACCAAACAGTTTCAGATACTCCTTTAACTCTAAAACCTGTAAGGTTTGCTAAAATATTTAGACTGCTATATATTTATAACTCATGAAAAATATTAAAGAAATTAACCCCATAGCAGATCAGACTTCTGTCTATGCAGCTTACATGTCTCTGTTTCACATATGGGCTTTACCTATTTGAGAGCTACTAGGTGAGCATGCTAAGAATACATAATCATCTGATAGGGATGTTAAGAAGCTAATAATTTGTTAATCATGTAGTTAACAAAAATTTTGACAACTACACAAATAATCAATAAGGGGTAGTTCTTCAACCACTCAATCCCAGCTCCTGCTGGTCTGGCAACTACCTCTGATGCAGCTCTGCACTAGAAGCACATGTACTGCAGAGCCACAATGGGAGCTGATGCCTGGTCCTGGCACTAAGAGCCAGGGTGGCTCAGTCATTGCTCGTGCCGGGACCCTCACTGTGGCTCTACACTATAAGCACTAAGAGCCAGCGCGAGGGTTGATACTGGTCCCACTTATTGGTTAATTGTTTAGTTGACTACACTGTTACTTCCATAGATCTGACAACATACCATCTTGCTGACACACAATACACAGGTACAGACATTCTGTCTCTACAGGAGCTTGACGCAGTTTCTCCTGAGAACTCAGGAGTGTAACAATTAACAATAATAACTGCACACACTACCCAAAGAATGTTCTCCTCAGGACAGAAAAGACTTGGTTGTCCCTCTTACAAAGGTTGTATTCTGTTAGCAAGAGCAAACAGACAGCTTCAAAAAGAAAATATGAAGGGTAAATAACTGACACTGGTTTAAAGTTACAAAGTGCCTCCATCTGGGGAAATGTACTCTGAAAATGCTACAGGATAGTGACTCCTGCAGAGCAGGGAAGTTTAAATATAAACACATTCATCAAAAGTTTACATATAAAAAGCAATAGGTATAGTTTGGGGATTGTAACAGCATGAGAGCTAATATAATGCATGCAAACTGCTCAAAGCTGGTATCTGATCTTAAGCTGTATCAGACTCTGTGCTGACAGTGTAATCTTGCAAGATGCTACAAGTGCTCCTCCAGTCAAGCTGCAATTTGCATAACAAGTGATTAATAAAGAACATTACTTACAGATATTCTATTGGCTTCTTCTTCAATCCTTTCCTCTTTGGCTTCCAAACGTCTTTTTTTCTGCATATTGGCTCCATGCACCTCATCATGATCACCCATTTCAGCTTCCCAATCCAGCTCTTCGCTCCCAAACACAAGTTCTAGTGTAGCTGCATCCTCAACTAAATCACCTAACACTTTTCTTTTCTTTGATGCAGGCTTTTCACTAGAAACATTTTTAGTAACAGTTTTATCTTTTTCTGATTTGCTACTTTCCATTGCAAACTTTAGGCCTGTGTCTTTAGGCAAAAGGTTTGCTTTCAGGTCCAAAGTACATTGTTCCTTTTGAGTTTGTTCCACTTTACTTTTCCACATCAAGGAAGTTGTGGGTTGGGTCTGACTGCAAAGATGAGATGACTTTTCCTCCATCTTGGCCAGTTTAGGTGCAGATGTTTCTCCCTCTTCAATCCTTTCCCTTAGCCAGAAAGAAACAAACACTTTTTCACCATGATAAACTCATTAAGTGAACAATGATTGAATATGAACCCAAATATCAAAAGTAATGATTTTCTTAATTTTGATTTTGTAATGTTGCCCAGAAATTTGTGTTTCAAGTGCACTGTGCTTGGTACATTTTGGGTATCCATGGAACTTTGTTAGAGATGAACAACCTGCACGAGCATTGCATGATACAAGTGGGATTTAAGACAATTTGTATTTATATGCCACAACTGATGATTTCCTGCATTATTCAGATTGTACTAGTGGGATCAGAATCTGAGCAATCTTAGTACAAAGTTTTCTGTTTGGGAAAACAGTTGCCCAGAAATGGCTAGTTTAAAATAAAAAATGAATAGAGGAATTCACTTTATGCAATAAAAGTTTTTCTTAGTGAGGTACCAGTAGTAAATTCTACTTTGGGAATAAAATGCATTCCCTTCAATATAAAACAAATTACTTTCTAAAATAAAAATAGCATCATTTGACAATATGAAAAAATACCTAGAACATTTTTTTTTTCTGTGAACATACCTTTTCTTTGGAGCTGCCTGGAAATAATTTGTAATGGAGTTAGACTCTCGCTGTGAAGTTCTCTCTCTAATTCTATTAGTTCCTAAAATTTTAGAGGGAGAGAGGGGTTGACTTTTTAGGTCAATCCCGGACATTCTATGCACCCTGTGTAATGCGGTCTCTGAGTTTACAATGCCACTTGTGCTGGGAGTCTCCTTTACAGTGGTTATATTCTGTGAATACATTTTGTCTCTTCGATCCATTTTGGGAGTGTTGTCTCTATCTTCTCCACCTGTCTCCATACTACATAAAGGGGGCAAAAAAATTACTATGTAAACATACAGGCAGTTATTGCAAAGACAACTTACACATAACAGAGCACCACAGTAATGCAGCTGTACCTGTGGTAAACAATAAACATATATGGAAGTTTAATACTAATACCTGCTATAACTAAATAATATAATCATGAAATTGCTTTCGAATTCTGAACATGATAAAATAGATTCAATCAGATCTGCTGCATCACCAATATTCAATATTCTGACACTCTAGTGCCCTAGCTGGTACTCTTAATGTACCCTATCACTTCAAAGTGAAAATTGGACCACTGTGGATAAAGACCACATTTTACCTTTGCAAGTTATGTTGTGCCACATCAAATGCTGAGCCCCGTGGATTATGGCAAAGCTATAATTAGTTCAAATTTCCTGTGTCATGATGAACAGTCTTGTTTATATACATCAACTTAGGAAACTATTTTTATGTGTACTTTACCATGTGTCCGTCAGTTCTTCTGATTCTGTGTCAGCTACGTATGCCTTGCTATCACTTGTAGCAACGGGCATTATGGTCTCATCGACAGTTGAACTCTGAGAAAGGGTTGCATGCGGAATAGCTGATCCTAGAGTAACCAGCTGTTTAGCTGTAAGTTGAATATATTGAACAATTTAAAGAGTTAGTATTTTTCCTGTGGCTCTGTGCATGTATAAGTCAGTATTACAATAATATTTCTGTTAATTGATCATGTGAAAATTTTGCTGATGATGCTTGTGTAATGTAAGGTTTTTTTTTTTTTTTTTTAAATAAAAAGCTAAAGCCACACAGATTTAATAGTTAATATGCAACTTCAAGAACCAAAGCTTTGGTCTTTCTTGGTCAAAAATCCCACTGAAAGGAAAGCCTATGAAAGGTTTTTTTTTTTTTTTTTTTTTTTTTTGAGTAATGATGGACTAGAATTTGGGCACACAGAATTTTTATCAGTATAATAAACACTTTAATATTAAAGTATCAATGGTATAGCGCAAGACTCAGCAGTGCAGATTATAAAACATTCAAAGAACAAGAAATATAAACAAATTATGTGGCAGTTACTTTTTCAAGTTATTCAGGGCACCTCAGGATTACTACTATTTAACTCACATCTAAAGTACAAGAACAGCTACTGTACTATGACAGAATATTCTGGCTAAAGAAGTAGTTTATTCTTAATCCCCACCCCCTGGCTGGTCAATGACTGATTTATGTCATGAAGCAGGGTTTACAATCCTCATGCATTTGTATCCAAATGTAAATTATCCATATAAATATATATATTTTTTAATCCTACTAATTGTTTGCTTTTAATGACAACAAGTGCTGCAAACTAGGAAATTATTTCCTTTATTCAGTTTTACAGTTTTTGAATCTCGTTTTAACCAGATGTCCTTTTATTATCTATGTGAGATGATAATAAGGAACACCTGGTTTACATAGTGAATCTGATTTGTTACTTCACTCTTATGTCCTCACTTAATCACTTCATTGCTGAATGAATCTCTCTCTCTTCACATAAGCAGTTTTCCAAGCCTGTAAATCATTTTTGCTGCCCCTTTCCATTTCTGCTTTAGCTTTTTTCTGATGAGCTAACCAGAATTCAACATGGTATTCAAGGTGGGAGCATATCATCAATTTTTTATAATGGTATTATATTTTCAGTATTTTTCTCTTCTAGAACTTCTTTTTTTAGGGTCGGAGGAGAATGGGAAGGTAGAATGAGGATTTGCTGCAATTGCACAATGAGCTGTCTAAAGTCATGTACAGGTCTCTTTAGCACGCGGTTACACTTCAATTGTTTTGCTTTGTACTGTTGTGAAAAACAAGTTGACACATGCTTGCCTACAGTGCATGGTACTGAAGATAAGCAGTGTTTAATGACCTGGGAACTCTAGAACTTGCTTCCTCCATTAGTTTTGAGTCTGATGACTGTCATGGTCTGGAACAAAGTCCATTTACTCAAGCATTTGCCTGACGGATGAAGACTATGTCTCTCTATGTAACAGACTGTAGGACAAAACTCAATAGGGTTTTTTGATATTCAATTTATTTTGTATTGTTTTTAAAATAATTTATGCACATATGCCCAGAGACAGATGGGTGTTGTTTTTAAAGAAACATTACCATCAACCTACAAATCCTATTAGGCTATGCCAGTTTTGTGCACCCCACTTTCCCGCCTGAACTTCCTGTTTCAAAGGGTAATGACGTTAAGTGAAAATAAGCAACTGCATTATAAATCCACTTATTTCTTATTCTTTTTATGTTCTACTATTCATCTTTTATTTGCTCTGCATGGTTGTTCTCACTGCAAGGCTGCAGGATAGCACGGAATAAGCAGCTTACATATCTATTATTCTTGTGTACCATTTAAAATATGGTTTCAAAACATTATTTTAAAATGTTTCTGTATATTTTCTGCACAATGTATCTGCTTTTAAGTCAGTCAGTCTGCTTTTTTCTTTACATTTATACATATGATCATCTTTAATGCAAGAATTACAAAAACATTAAAGCAAAAATACTATATGAGAAAAAGAAAAGAACATTTATTTAAGAAGCATATTTAGGCCTGAAAAGATATTTGGCCACTAGCTATTACTTGACCCTTTTGTATACTACATATTTATTTATTCGTTTGCTTAAACTACCATAATCAATCCTGGCTAGGACTCCTAGATGCTATGGTAATATGAATAATAAATACTACCCTCCTCCCAAAGTAACGAAGTTTATAAAAATTACTTGTTCCAGGCTGGTTTTGAGGATTGCAGTATCTTTCCATAGACATAAAAATAACTGCTAATCCAATTTCTGCTTCCGGAATGGTTCTGAGATTCTTGCTATTAAAAATAAAAGTTTTAGAAAATGAAATACCAAAGAGCAACACTTTTATATTCAAATACTCTGTTCTTTTATCCAAACATGCTTCTCAAAAGGTAATAAGGTAATAAAATGCTTCATGCACCAAGAGCAGGCTTAAAAGTAGGTGAGAACTTTAATGGTGACAGTACACTTTTCTCTTCTTTATCTTAGTTGAGATCTGGATAGCTCTTTTTCATGCACACAGCCTCCCATTAAACAAGAGAGTTTATCTGGTTTTCTTTTCCAAATGGGGGATCTATGGGCCTAAACACTATTATGCTATTAGTCTCAGTTAAAGTTTTATTTTTATTACCAGTTATCCTCTATAAAAACATTGACACAGCCTTGGCTTCTGGGACCTTATTTGTATTTTAGAGTAAGAGTTTATTTGGAAGGTAGTTCCTATTCATCTATTGAGAAATAAAGATGTTAAAAAAAGTTAATTGATTAAATGTTAGCACTTAACTAGTTAATAGTTTAACTTAGGGCCTGCTGTCACAGCTAAGAGGTTCTTCTGACAATCCCTCCAGGACCGTGGGGTACCACCAGCCCCTCCATGGCCAGAGCTGCTCTGGTCCGGCGCAGCTGGTCCTTGCCGGAATTTACCAGCAAGGCCCAGTTAATTGGTAAGCAAAGCAATAAGCCTCGTGCTTACTGGTTAACCATTTAACATCCCTATTGAAAAATGCACTTGAATCTATTTAATCAATAGATTCTCTCTCCTATTTCTCACAATCCTTTTATTCTTAGTTTTTTTTAAAAAAAAGCGATAGAACCTAGTATGGCCTTGACTTCCCTTTTGATATTGTAAACAGTAGGTCAAGGGAAAAATAAACTGATACTAATCGAATAAAGTCCAATCATGATTCATCTGCATGTTCTTACACAAAATTCTCCAAGACAACAATCCTTCCTTTCCCCAAAAGTTTTAATCAATATTTCATTAAATTACTATAAATAATCCCCCCTCAATCAGTACACAAAGAACGCAATGAAATTACTGCTAAAATTCTACAATGTCTATTGAAGTAAAAGAACGTGTTTCACCTTTGTAGTGTAGTCATAATGGAATCAATCCAATTTCTCACAGAGTCAGACACTGCGACCTGCGAGTTTGTTAATCCTGCATCAACAACACAAGCTTCAGGAGCTACCAGTAAAGAAGTTTCTTTTCTTCTTTCTGTCAACAGTTTTGCTTCTCCCCCGCCAAGAATAATGGCTGGACTCAGTTTCTTATGCTAAAAATCAATAAAGAAAATGCAAGTTAATGAACAGACTAAATTTAATCAGATCCATAATTTTTTTTTATTAAGGCAATAATACAGTTAAACCTCTCTGGCCAAACCACGGATGGCATTAGACAAGGGAGCCCCAGTGGGTGGGAGCTGGGGCCAACTCAGAGTCGAGAGGCAGAGGGGCTGGCAGAGATCTACGGCACAGCTGCAGTGGGCCTGGTCATCTGACTCAGGCTCATGAGGCTAAAAATGGATGTTCAGCCATTTAGGATTGGTCTGCCAACATCCTTACAGCAGTTTTTCTGTCCCACAGAACAAGCCCAAGTCAGCTGATCTAGACCAGCTGCCAATTTTTTATCCCCCTGTAAGATCTGGCAACTAACGTCTGAAATGGACACTCATGTCTGTTTCACCACTGCTAGTGAATAGTTCCCAAAAGCAGTAGTACAACTGACAAGAACATTCATTTCACTCAGCAGCTGCCAGGTCTGAGGGAAAATATTGTATTTCAGAAATTGTATTTCAGAAACACCACTTGACAGTGTTCCCAATGAGAATTTTCTTCTGGATCTTCTGTTAGTGAGAACACAAAACCAAAGTTCAAATTCTGACATTTCTCACAAATTGTAAACCCTGAGCTTCAGCTAGCTCTATGTATATGTGCTTACATGCACAAGCAAATACTAACAGTGAAAATGACTATTCAAATCTCCATTAAGTATGTTTGGCATAATGGAAACAATATCAAGAGAGACAACTGCAATTTTTCTGATTCCTGCATTCCCACCAGATGCCATCATGTGTTCATTAGTGTTTCTCTCATTAGACCTTCTCTCAAACTGGGCCTTGATTCTGTAAAGAGATTAAATGAAACCTTGACTTTTCTGTGCAGAAATCAGTTATTTCTGTACAAATTCACATGGGATAAGGATCTTCACTAGTCCCTTTGCCGGACTAGTGCCTTAAACACTATGGTTATGTCTAGACTCCATTCCTCTTTCGAAAGAGGGATGTAAATTTAGATCAAAAGTGCAAATGAAGCGTAGATTTAAATATCCCGCACTTCATTTGCATATTCATGTCTGATCGCTGTTTCGAAAAAGGGTATTTCGAAAGTGAAACCGCAGTCTAGACATGGTATTTTGAAAAAAAAAAAAAAAAACACCAACCTTTTTCCAAGGATCCTTTATTCCTCATTTTTTCAGGCATACGGTTTCTGTTGATAAGTTAATATGACTCTCTGTTCAATCAAAATCAGATTCAACAGAAACTTCAACTTCTGTGGCAGGCCTACACAAGAGTCTCACTACGTATTACATACATTCTGAATTATCAGGATTTAAATACACTATCAACATACAATGTGTAACAAACAAAACACATTTCATATGTTTTGTTTCAAAGTATCTTTTAAATACTTTAATCAATGTTGTTGTCTTATACATAGTTGAAACCCAGAGACCAGTTACCTGTTTAGCACTTAGGAACAGAAAGGTTTTGCCTCCGAAGATCGTATTTCTTTCTTGACGCATAGACAGATCCAATTTTTCTGTACCAATAGCGGGCTCATCAACTGGAGGATAAAAACTACAAAGATGGGGAAACAAAGTAATAACACTCAGATGCACATGTTTTATGCAGCTGTTTACTGTGATTTATTTCTACTTTGTTTAGTTCAGAAGACATCTCTGAAGGCAGGACATCAGACGATACTGTAATTATTTTCTGCTGTTATAACTACCTATAAAATAGACAAAGGAGGGATTGGATCTTTCCAGTAATTTATAACAGTACGTGGAGATTCTCGTATCTGAATCAGTGACCTGAGGCAGAGATTTTCAAATTCAATGGAGCTGGGTATCTCGTTCTGAGAATCCTTTGATAACCCTCACCTAAATCTGGCACAGGTCAAATGTATTTGAGTTATTACCATCACTAATGGCTTGGGGATCTAGTGCCAATTCTACTAAAGTAATAACCACATCATCATAACTATTATCATGCTGAATATGTTATTAGCAATCTCACAGAAGCCCAGGTCTCAAGGATCCCTGCACAACTTACTCACTACTATAGATGATCCTTCTAAACCAGGTTAAGGAATGTATATTGGAAAAGAGAGGAAAAGCATGCACTACCCTGACTGTGCTACACCTCTTCAACTAAACAGTAATGTCTGCGCGCACTCACACTCTCACTCTCTCTCTCTCTCTCAACAAAGAGGTTATTTACCTAGTGCAATAACAGATTCTTTGAGAGATGGGTGTCCCTGTGGGTGCTCTAATGTAGGTGAATCTGCACCGGTGTATTTTCAAGCAGATTTTTTTTAGTGGCAGTGCCTGGCTGAGTTGCATATGTGCTGGCCCTGCTTTGTGCCATCTGTTGCAGTTACATAGCATGATGTCACCAACTCCTTGCCCCTGGTTCCTCCCCTATCACAATTTCTAGAATAAAAATACCAAAGCAGAGAGAAGGGTGCGTAGTAGAGCACCAACAGAGACAGCCATCTCAAAGAACACCAGTTACTGCACAGGGTGAACGACCTCTTCTTCAAGGAGTGTCCATGTGGGTGCTCCATTTTAGGTGACTGTAGAGTAGTGCCCCTTTCTGGAAGGAAGGAGCTCTGGCATTGCAGTCTGGGTGGATAATAAAATTGAAAGTCTGTACAGCATCTCATATCAAGTCCTGCTATGTGACATAGTGCTGTGTGAATGTATGGGCAAAGGCCCAAGTTGTTGCCCTGCAGATGTCCAAAATGGGCACACGGTTAAGGTTATGAATGTCAAGAAAGCTCTGGTGCAGTGTGTGGGTCTGTTGATAGTGGTGATAAAAGTCAATGCAGCTGGAGCATCATTTTGGCAGCCTTTGGATGTGGTGTCTCCTTTATTGTTCCATGATGAAAAGAAATAATGTTGATGATTTTCTCAAAGACTATATCCTTTCAATGTAAAAAGCTAGCGTCCTTTGGACATCCAGGGTATGAAGCATCACTTCCTATTTGTTTCCATGAGGTTTCGTGAAGAATGCTGGGAGATGGATGGGTTGATTCAAATAGAATGACTACACTATTTTAGGTAGGAACTTCAGGTGTGGTGACAGGATAAATTTGTTTGTGAAAAATATTGTGAGAAATGTGCCATGAAGGTCCCAGTTCTTTAACTCTGAGAAGATGTGATAAGAGACAAGGAAGGCCTGGAGAGGTAAAGAAGGGAGCACATCGCTAGTGGTTCAAAAGGAGACTCCATAAGGCATCATAATAGCAGACTGAGGTCCCAAGCTGGAGTGGGGACTCATATTTCAGGGCAAAGATTGCACAGACCCTTTAGGAAATGATTGGTGGTAGGGTGGATGAATATCAAGAACTCACCCGCTTTGTGGAGGAATGCCATTATTACCACAAGGCGTACTCTGACTCAGCTCATGGAGAGATCTGATTTCTTGAGTTCCAGTATGTAAACTAATATCGTTGCTAGAGGAAAAGGAGTTGCTACTGTTTCACTGTCTAAAAGAAAGCCCCTTTTCTCCTCGGAACTGGTCATTTCACTGTCTCAGGACCATGGAGTAGCCATACCCTTCACGTGGAGTTTTGCCAGCTTTGGGCTGTAGATCTGGCCCACACCCTGATACAGGAGATAAGGTAGAAATAAGACTGTGTCACAGTGCTCCAAGATTTTCCTTCCATGAGCGGAATGAGTTTTGTCTTGTGCGTCAATAGTGATGTCATATGCGCTTGTTTGGATGTGTACCACCATGGCACCCAGCATCCCGCAACCCCTCCCTACGACCTCAGCCACAAGGCCTCCCGCTTCCCCATGCTCCATGGGAGCCATGAGTTATACAGCCTTCCTCATTCTCTGACCTGCCCCAGCAAGGTCTGGGGTGGCATGGCTCCAAGGGCAAGCAGCTTCTATCCTCCCCGGAGAGGCCGCACAGCTGCCCTACTTGGTTCCCCTCATTCCCCCCACACAATCCCCTATCAGCTCTGCACTGCATGGACTAGCAGTTAACTCCTCCCCACACACCACCTGCCTCTGAGCATCCCTCCAGGAGGGTGGCTGCCAGAATTTAAATTGAACGGCACGGCTTCTTCGCTGTCCGGGGCGGGTAGGAGAGGCACACGTGAGAACCAGGGGGATTCAGGTGGGGAGGGCACAGGAGCCACACAACCTTGCAGGGGTTGGGAGCATGCAGGAGCCACAGAACCTTGTGGGGGCTTGGGTGGGGACCATGCAAGACACGTGTGGCATTGCCAGTGGTTCAGGGCGAGGGGGCACATGGGAGCCCTGCAGCCTTGCCCCTCAATGGCAGGGGACTGGAGCCATGTGGCCTCTCCCCTCACAGCCACAGGAAGAAGGCCAGGCGTTGCGCCCCCTTCCCTCCCTCAGCTCACCTCTCCCTGCCAGAGGGAGAGGGCTAGGTGTTGTGCTCCTTTCTCCCACCATGCCTGCCAGAGGCAGTGGGCCAGTCCAGCTGCAGCCTCGGCCCAGTCCAGCTCCCCAGCGGCTGGAGGGGAGAGAGCTGGGCCAGCTTCGGTCTGGCCCAATCTTCCCCCCCTCCTCTAGGGGCCAGTCACAGGAAAGTCAGGGCAGGCCAGGGCTGCTACACCTCGAACTTGCCTTCCCTGGTGGCAGTGGAGAGCCAGGGCTGCCTATCCTCAGAAAGGGGGGCTGGCGAGCATAGGGCACTGGCCCTAGTGTGTTTGTATATATTTTAAATTGTTATGGAAGAAAGCCCCACTTACCGTGCAGATGAATTAGCTCCTGCCCCATCTTCTGCCCTGTTACACAGCTAGCACCTCTGTCTCCTTCTCCAACCCCTGCTGTTCCCCCCGCCAGCCCCACAGCCCAAACTCCCAGCAGCAGCAACCACCTGCCAGCCCCGTGGCCCCACCTCCTACACCTGGCATGGAGGGGCAGGGCCCCAGGATATTTATGGGACAGGCCCAACCCTTGCATAGTGTCAGGGTAAGGTAGAATATCACTGCAAGTCCATCTCCTAGATGAACAACCGCAGGGTGATCATCCACCTCCATGCATTCAGTGGCCAGTGCTCTCCATTGCCATGCTGGAATCTCCACATTTATTTGATGACAAGATTTTGCAGAATTTTAAAATCTTGCGCACTGAATTTTTCATTTTTTAGTGCAGAATACTCAGGCGTATCTGAGTAATGTCTCTCATCCTGGCTTTCTGACAGGCTTCTAAATATTATGATTTTTCCCTAGCCTAATGACCAGGGGAAAAGTTTCTCCCCCACAGGGCGTTTGGCACTACCTAAGAACATTAATATATACAACCAAATCCCACACCGTCTCCTTTTTCAGGAGTAGAAAGGAAGCAGTATTTGTGAAAATTAGAAGCAGTTTTTCGAGATTTAACACAAGCAGCTACTAAGTAAGTTTATAATAGCTCCTTGTAAATTACATCTTAAGGATCATCCATTCTGAGATACTGTAATTATTTTAAATATAGACCTGTTTATTATATGAGCTGTCTCATCCTGCTTGATGCATAGGTGTGTCTTTGAAAGCTAAATGACAGATGCACTGCAGTGTCAATCATGTTTAGTGAAGTTCAATTCCACTGGGGGGGTTGAACAGTTATAAAAAATGTTATGAAGAGAAGAAAATAGCCATCAAATACTATTTTAGGGAGCACTTAACATTTAAATTATATTAACACCTGTTAGCACAACTGATACTAGAACGGTCATTATGCACTGATTTTCAGAAACACATTTAGGGTACGTCTAGACTACACGCTTCTTTTGGAAGAAGCTTTTTCAAAAGCTGTCATGATTATGAGGGTTAGCCAGCAGTCTGGGGATTAAGGGGTTAACTACACCTAGCCAGGTGGAGTGGCCAATAGGAATGTAGGTAGGACTTTCAAACTGGGAGAAAGGAATTTGGGTTTTTGCCTTCCTTTGTCTCTCTGAGTGAGTCCTCTGCAGCTACAGGGAAGGACAAGCAAGTCTCTCTCTCTCTCTCTCTCCAAGAAACAATTCTTCACTTTCTGTAAGTAGGGTAAAGTTTAGGTAGTTTTGTTAGGCTTTATTGTTTTAAGGGTTAGGTATGGGATCTGATATCTGGCACTGCTTAAAAGATATTTGGCTTTTCTTTTTAACTAAATTCTAGCCCATGGTGTAATTCCTCCATGAGTATATTTTGTTACCTTTCCATCTGATCCTTATGCTTGCAACAGGAATATTGTTGTAATAATAAAAGTTTCTCTTTTCTTTTTATTAACCTGGCATTGGTTACTTGTGTGTCCTGATTTTTATAATAGGGGTGAGATTTCCCAAATGATCTTTCCCCTAATCTCGTTATTAATATTTGGGTGGTGGCAGAGGAAGTTTTATTCCCAAAATATAGGTTTTTAAGATTTTGGGGGAAGTTTTATACCAAAGCCTGGTAGATAAGGCTTTGGGGTAAACCTGCTGGCCCCCACTTCTGCATTTATCATGCCAGAATGGGGAAGGAGCCATGACAGCTTCTTTCGAAAGAGATCATCTAGACAGCCGTAACTTTTTCGAAAAAGCAATCCGCTTTTTTGAAAGAGAGCACCCAGGCAATCTGGATGCTCTCTTTC